CATGGAAGATTTATAGAAACATCCTAGCAATCTTCACCCCGCTTGGAGACTTCTTGTTGGAGAACTCAGCTCTTGAAACACTTAAGAAAAATATTAAGGAAGTAACTGATACCACAGAGTCATACTGCCAAAGGGAAGATATCTTTAAATCATTAAGCAGAACCGTTGGCCCTTCAAACGCATAAAAAATGAGCACATCTGTAGGATTTGTCCCATTCCTGAAATTATTTGGGGAATAAGACCTTCAAGACTTTTAATGGACTTGATTTTTGATTCTTTTGGAAAAATCTTGGGACTTGTTCCATAATTATGCATTTTCACAGATATAAAGGACCTTCAATAAAATCATGAGTCAAGTGTAAGGGTGCATACCTGTCACCCCTAGCACTTGGGAGGCTGAGGCAGGAAGACTGATGTGAGTTCAAGGCCAGTCTAGGCTAGATAGTGGGTTCAAGGTCAGCCTGAACTGCATAGCAAGGCCTTGTCTCAAAACACAACAATAACAAAACAAACAAATAAAATAAATAACCATGAGCCTTTCCAGAGTAAATACCTAAGGGTCATCATTTTCATCAACAAGCTGGACGGTGTATCCTCTGGATCTATCCATGGGCAGGGAAATTAATGAGAACAGGAGCTCCTCTGTCATTGGTGAATTATTTCACCCTCCCACTGCATTTGGAACCATCACGGAGTCAGAGTCGGAGTCGTAGAATGGTGGAAGGGTCCTGCAAACTTGGAAGAAGGGAGTCACTTCCCATGGCTGGGACTGTGGCCCGCTGACTCAGAAGCTGCCCGCTGCCAGGTTTCCTACACGAGGAACACAGGACACTAGTCAATAGAGGAAGAAAAAGATACAGATGGTGGAGACAGTGATGGTGATAAGAGGGGAGAGAGAGAACTGGACCTCAGAGAAGAGAGGGAGGCGGAGAGATCTGAGGGGTCTGGCTGAGCTCGGTCAGGTGCTGGAGTCCATGACCCTCTGCAGAACCCTTACGCTCCCCCCTCTTTTAATCTGGCTCAAAATGGTTTCTGCTACTTGCAGCTCTGAGAGAACAAACTGTACAGTGGCCTGTGTTTCCTTAATATTCACTGGGTAATCACTCACTCACTGAGCGGCTATTTACTGGGTATTTTCTCTGTGGTATGTATGCCCTGGTTTAGGTCCTGGGAGACACAGTAGGTAATATTGAAAATCTCTTACAAAATTTAACTTCTACTAAAAAGGGCCGAGTGCTGGAGTTATAGCCCAGGTGCAGAGCACTTGTCCAGCATCCATAAAACCGGTCAGGTCAAGGCCAGCACTGGGGCAGGGTGGGGCACCTCTCTAGAAATCAGGTAAATATATGAAAGACAACTTTCAAGTCAGGTGCCAAAGAGCTGGTTGACCCAACTAAGCACAGATCCCAGGTCTTAAATTGTTGTACCAGGGTCACTTAGAACAATATATATGCTTTTAAACTGATTGGATTAGAAGGATCCACCTTTGTATAGTGTCTTTTCTTTGAGTTTTTCTGGGTGCCTGACTGCAGGACCCTCCTGATAGCTCTCCATCCCCCAGCGCCCCCTCTCTTGCCCCTGGTGATATGGTTCCTGCTTCCACCCTCGTACATTGCTTGCTTTGTCTGTGTACAGCTTCAGTCTATTTTCAGTGATCACGAGAAGCCGCAGACAACACACATGTGACATTAAATTCATGGGCAGGGGGCTGGAGATTTAGCTCAGCGGCATAAGCGCCTGCCTTGCAAGCAGACAGTCGTGAGTTCAATCCCTGGTGTCGATAAAAAGGAAAAAGACAAAACAAAAAAAATTCATGGGCAGTTTTTTAAAATCTCATGATAACCACACTTCTCCCATCCCAGTTAGCAAGCCTCAAAGAACAAATTCAGGTCTCTGCTCCCTGGCTGCCTGGGGAGGAGTTGCAAATGAGCAGAGTGGAGACCAAAAGGCAAGCAGCAGGAGGCAGAAAGCAAAGCAAGTGACTGATCTGCATGATAAACACCCAAACCCTCCAGCGCCTGAGAAAGTGCACCCTGTAGGGCTGGGTCTGCCGCCTCCCCTGGTGTCCATCCTTACAGCGAGCGGGCCCAAATCTTCCTTTAGGACATGGGGTTAAACTTCCCATACTTTTGATATATATTTTTGCAATCCTGGGAACTAAACCCAGAACCTGCTCATACTTTTTATGCAAAATCAGGAATCAAAGCATACTTTACTTCTAGTGGAATACATACAACGCAGATTTCCTTACGTAATAAAGGACTACAGTAAGACTTAGCAACTAAGGCTTGCAAGGCCCTCCTTTCTCCCGACCTTCTAGAGATAAACAGCGGTGCCTGAAGATGTTTTGAACCAGAAACAGCTACTTGTTTCTAACCTTTGGAATGGTGTGGCTCTTTTGCACAAGTAACAGATTTCTTTCTTTCATTTATTTTTTTTTTGGAGAGACAGGGTCTTACTGTATTTAGACTGGCCTTAAACTCACGACCACATAGCCCAGCATGGCCTTGAACTCGCAGCAATCCTCCTACCTCAGCCTCCCAAGAGCCGGGTTATAGGTGTTCACCACTACACTGGATTAACAGGTTTCTTGATAGACGACTACTACTACTGTAATATTTCTATTGCATGGAATAATCTCAACCACAAGCTATCTCATCTTTTTTTTTTTTTTTTTTTTTTTGTGGATCTTTTTCGTTTTTATCGGTACCAGGGATCGAACTCACGATTGCTTGCTTGCAAGGCAGGCGCTTGTGCCGCTGAGCTAAATCCCCAGCCCCAAGCTATCTCATCTTGTTAGCTTCTAAAATTCCAGGGGATGACAAAGCTTAAATAAGATACTGATGAGTAAAGAGAGGAAGTGGGGCAGTAACCAATTTTGGTCCAACACAAGTAGCAGGTTTTGTTTCTTATCTCAAAGAATGAATAGTGGATAAGAACTAAGTTTATAAACTCTCCAAAATGGGACATGAGATCTAAATTCTTTTTTTTTTTTTTTTGGTACTGAGGATCAAACTCACAACCTCACACATGCAGAGAAGGTGCCACTGAGCTAAATCCCTGGCCCCTGATACCTAAATTCTTGCTGAGGCTTTGTTCTGGTTGATTTTAGGAGTGAAGGCCCATCCTAGCCTTAATCTCTCAGAGACCACCTTCCAACCTTCCTGTCTACTGCCTGGCCAGCTTGTATTGCAGACGGAGAAGGCAGTCAGGTATGCCTTTCTCCTGACAGACAGTAACTGGATGAACAGGCTCCCCAGTCCAGGCCCAGGCAGAAGAGGGAGGTGGACCATCCAGGGGTAATCAGTTCTGCTCTGTACCATTCTCTCTTACCAAAACATTTTGGAAGGGCCAGAGCGGCTTGGTACAGGTATTATACCCAGCAGAAAGATCTTCTTTCTTTCTTTCTGTCTTTCTTTTTCCTCTTCTCCTTTGGTGAACTCCGGGCTTTGTGCATGCTGGCAAGCACTCTACCACTGCACTACACCCCTAGCCCAGAAAGGTATTCTGATTAGACTCCATGTTGGTTATAACAAATTTCAGGTATTGAGATCCTGCACAGGGCCACACAATTACCAGGATGGGAATCAGCCTGGTTTTGCTCTTAGCAGCTGGAAGTCCTGTGTAGTCTGGACACCGTAGCCTCCCTCAGGTCCCAGTGACAGGTGCAGGAGTCCCAGGCAACTGCCCAGATCAACTAAGAAACTTTGGTGTTGGAAACCTGTAGCTGTGTGTTTTTACAAGCACACAAGTGTTCTGGCCCTGCCTAAGTTTGGAGATCCTCACCTGGAAGCCCCTTGGGGCTAGAATTCGGAGGGCCACAACCTCTTCCCCTCTAACCATCTGTGCTCCCAGGCAGAGCTCATTGCTTCCATCTTTCGTCTCCACATTCTCCAGGGACATTTTTACTTTACGAGTCACCTCTGACAGCTTCGAGTCCACCAGGTTTCAATCACCATGTGACACAACAGTCACACTGGTATTTGCCCGTGACTCACTCCCCTGTCACAAAGAAAACACTTAGCACGATGTTGCATGAAGTACTGGGATTATCATGAACATGAACACAGAAGTGACTTGGGAACTGTGGACAAGACACTGCCAGGGTTTCTAGGGATGAAGTAGATTTCCATTCTTAAATACTTTGGGTACCTGATATAACTTCCCGGACTCCTAGGACAACGTGGAGGAAAGCATGTGAGGCTGGGGTGTAGCTCAGCAAGGCGCCACGGGCTCAGCATGCATGAGGCCCTGGGTTCCATCTCCAGGATGGAAAGGGTGATACTAATCTCCTAAGGGGAGGGGAAGGGAAGGAATAGGATGGGAAAGGAAGGGAGGAGAAGGGAAGGAAGGGGAGGGAAGCCAAGCCAAGCCAAGCCAAGCCAGGCCAGGCACTCATAGCACATGCCTTGTAACAGTTTGTTTACAGACGCCCCCCCCCCCAAGCCTCACACAGTCATAGGTAGCTGGATCTAGCGTGTGTGAGTCATTCAGGGTGCAATGCTGGGATTAAGGGGCTGTGATTATTAAATTGGTCCACTGATTAGTCTGGCATCACCCTCATCTCCAGCAGCCTAGATAGAATATAAAAGGGGCAGAGAGACACTGTCCCTTGTTGCTTTGCTACCTTACACCCACCATGAACTGTTCTCTGCAAGGCCTGTCTGCCATGCCGTCCTGCCTTGGAGCCAGCAGACTGTGGACTGAAACCTCTAGAAGCTGTGAGCTAAACGAAGCTGTTCTCCCTTAACTTGTGAATGTTGAGTATTTCGTCACAAACTTGTGAATGTTGAGTATTTCGCCACAGCAACAAGGAAAGTGACTAGACAGATGAGTGACACTAATCTTCTAAGAAAAGGCTCACCCTGGGCCAGGGTGCAGCACTTGCTTAGTATGCATGAGACCCTGAGCTTCACTGCCAATGCCAAAAATTAAATAAAATATCAAAGGATACTCATTAAAGATAATCATGCATCCAAATAAGGAGAGGGAGAGAAAACTGGGTGAAGGACTTTTAATATAGAGGGCAACTATACATCTCAACAGAGACAAAGAGAGCATGCCAGGCCCTCTGACCTGGCGACACGAGCGACAGCCTGTGGGGCCTCCCGTGACAGACAGAGCAGCAGCAGCAGCAGCAGCAGTTTCCTCTCCCTGTGTGGGAGGATAATACAATGTTCACACAGTCTGTGTTGTACCCAAGTTCCTGCAGCCCAGGCACAAGCACCAGCTCACACTTCTCCTCTCACAGCAAGTCAAATGATCCCCTCTCCTCCTGTGCAGGAGCAATGACCCACAGAAGGTTCTCGCTGGAAAGACAGGCCTGAGCATCACCCGGTTAGGGTGACATCAGGTCTCTCCGTTTCCTCATGCTGTGAAGGAGCTGTTCTGCAAATGTGCACCTGGATAACAGAGCAGGAAAGCGCTGGGCTCCTCACTGAACCAAGCTGTGTTGTGGGCCGGATCCCGAAGCATCAGGGTTAGCTGAAGTCCTCTGCCTTCCACAGGTCTCTTCGCCTTGTGGGTGGGGTCACAGGCAACCATCAACCCAGCAAAGCCTCCCGACTTCCAGGCACAATCATCTCCTCCATCCAACCACTGCCTCGCTCCTCAAGGCAGCGGTAGGCAGCCCGGAAGTGTTTCCACGTCCTCCATTCTGAGAGTCCTCCCAGAGGGCGGAAAAGAAAGCCCTTCTCCCTCCCACTGGAGTGTAGGACCAGCAAAGCCCAGTCCTCCAAGGTTGCCAAGTTCTCTTAAATAAGGTTTCCTTTCCATTTTCCTCTCTTGATTTTTTATCACCTAGCCATTTATTTATACAAATATAAAATATATTTATATAGATTTATATAATATAGACTCTCGTGAGGCAGCGTGAAGGACGGGTCGGAGCAGCAGAGCCTCCCGCTATTTACAGATGTACTGGTCGACGACCTCGGTGCACTTTTTGCACCTGACGAAGCAGCACCAGTGGAAGCGGCAGTGGCAGCGCTCCACCTGGATGCTCTTGAACTGGTCATAGCCGCGGCCACAGCACATGAGCTCGCAGCCGTCCATGCCCTCCGAGGTCTTGTTGCAGAGGCGGCCCTGGGTGCCCAGGGAACCCGTGGTCTCGTTGCGCAGGCAGTAGTCGGGGCTGGGGTCCACGTAGACCAGGTCCTCTGGGGTGGGCGGGTTGAAGCGGCTGTTGACCAGCTCCAGCTTCCCCTTTCGGGTGACCCGCATGGCGGCCGCGCTGTCGTATTTCTCCTTCAGTTGGTCCCCCACTTTGCGGAATTCAGCCAGTTGGAGCCAGCAGGTCTTAAGGCTGCAGGACCCTGAGACACCATGGCATTTGCAGGCCACATCTGCCATCTTATACACAGCCTGAGGGGAGAAGGAGGAAGGAAATAAGAAGGAGACTCCTGATGGATAAGGCCAGGGAGTGGCCACGGCAGCCACAGCCACGTACACACAAGGGCTCACAGCGGAGGTGGACGGGTCTTCAAATACACAAATAGGCTCCTTCTCTACAGAGAGCAGACCCTGCACTGCTCAGGACGAAAGCAAACAAGGAGCCATGCACAAGACAAGGCGAGGCCATGCAAGGAGGTCTTGCAGGGATGGGGCTCAGGGCACTGCCACTCGGCCAAATCATCTCATAGTTCATGAAATATATTACAATATGTGTGCCATTTTTATAACCTAGGAAAAATGTTCCCTTTTTTCTTTTGTGGCTCCAGGGATCAAACTTAGGGCCTTGTCCATGCTAGGCAAGTGCCCTAGCACTGACCTAAGTCCCCAGCCCTCCCACTTCCTCCCTTCCTCTGTGCCTTCCTCTGTCCCTCCCTCCCTTCCTCCCTTCCTTCCTTTCTTCCTTTCTTCTTTCCTTCCTTCCTTCTCCCTTCCTTCCTTTCTTCTTTCCAGTGGGTCTTGCCATTTGCCCTGGGTGGCCCTAAACACCAGGGATCAAGTGATCCTCCATCTCGGCCTCCTGAGTACTAAGACTACAGGTAAGCATTACCACGTCCAGATCAGAATTTCCAATACGACCAAAGTCTCAAACAAGTAAGTATAATCCAGGAAAATGTGTGTCCAGCATTTCTATAACATGAGGCACAAGTCAGAAAAGAAACAATCCAGGTGCTTCCAAAACTGTAACAAAAACAGACAAACAAACACACACACACCACCTGTGTGGTCCTGGTTAGCCAAAAGCCGCCCCAGATCCTACCAAATCCTCTGAGTATCCACGGTTCCCTGTCCTGCGCTGTCATGTGGTAAATGACTCCATAGTCATCAGGAACCTCCAGAGGGCTGTCATGTCTGCATGACCACTTTCTAACCCCAGCATCCCAAGATGCAGCCCTTACAGAAGCTGTGCAGGTGGAGGAAAAGGACCCAAGTCAAAGAGGCGCAGGTCGGGGGGCCTGCTTTTAGGGGTGATTCATTTGAAAACAAATCTGCCTGCAAGTTACTGAACCTCAACAATGAGGAGTGGTTTGAACTTGAGTTTACCCAAATTGAAATGTAAAAGCAGGAGCAGGCCAGAAAGCTGCTTCCAAAGTGCTTTTCAAGGAAAGCACAGTGATGGGCGTGCCCACCAGTGCTGGCAGCGGGCCGGGAGGTACAGATGGCAGGATTAAAAAGGCCTGTCTGCCTCCGAAGGCTTTCCTGTGTCACAGCGATTGTCAGTGATTGAGTCAGGACTCATTTTTCAAGGGTTTCTCTTAGATTTCTTTTCAAGAGTTCCCAGATTGTGTCTTTATTCAGTGCTAAGACAGGCCATGGCAGGTGCAAAAAATAGTATAAATAGTATAACCACCATCAGCTCGTAAGAGTCTTGTCAAAAGTCTTGTTTTTTTCCCCCCGTAGGAAGTTATTCCCATTAATTTATGGCTGAGAGACCAAAACTCAGGAGTGTCAGTAACTGTGCAGGGCCACTGGGGAGGGAGCTAGGATGCGATCATGTCTGCATTCTGATCTCAGGATGTCAAGGTGGCTCGGAGGAGAGAAGGGAGGAAATCTCCTCCCCACGGTTAGCAACGCTGGTACTGGGCCTGGCAGCTGCAGGCCCACGACACAAGGGAACTGACACCCCATCGCAACAGGCACTTCAAAGACAAGGCCAGCAATTATCTTTCGGGTCCAAATGCCCCAGCTCTGAGCCGCAGCCTGACATTGCTCTGGAAATGGTCCTTGGTTTAAAGCAGAGTGGCAGACATTTGGTGTTGCAGAGAGGAGGAAGCTAAGGGTCTAAATGTGTGTACCCGATCACTGAACAACGAGGGGAATAGAATAGCACCTCCACTGGGAATAAACATTCAAGGAGATTTGGGGAAAGAGCCAAATCAAAGCCAGATTCCACTGGGTTAAGCACAGGGATTTCAGTAAAGCAAATCCCAGGCAAAGAACATCACTACCTTTTGCTATTTGGACATTAACCCATCCTTCTCCTATGAAGACATTGTGGAGATCATCATATTTGAATTTCTCTGTAGCTGATATTGATCAACCATGATCATATCTATATATAACTTACATAGGTATTGGTCATGTAAGATCCTTTTGTAAGAGAAGGTGGAGGTGACAATTTTAATTTTTGACACTTACGATGGTTCAAAAAATAATAAAATGTGTGACTAGGACTGTAGTCAGTAGTAGAGGGTTTGCCAAGCAATGTGAGTTCCCCATCCTCAGCACTGAAAGGCAAAACTTAAAAAAAGTTTCAATCAAAAAAAATGTTTTAATCCTCCATTTTCTCCTGGCGATATCCTAAGTGACAAGCTTGCTATCTGACAGGAATGTCACAAGGATTAGGCACAACGCTTTCATCTGGAAAATGTTTAGAATCCTTGGGGAACCAGGCAATACCACCCTGTGAGCCTTTGCCATCAGTGTGGAAGAGGGATCCACCAGAGCACTTAAAAGGCCGAGAGAAACTTCTGATAAAGCGTGCCTGGGATTTACTCTATGGCCACAATGTCAGATCCCAGACAGCCAGCTTTTTGGTTTTTTGCAAAAATCTGGTCATAAATCACTCATCCAGATTATTTTCAATACCTGCCACCGCCACCCCTCAGGCCTCCCCAGAGAACTTTCTGTGTAGGTGTGAGGTGGAAAGTGAATGTGGTTGGCCCCAGATGGTGACTGATGGCTGGGGTCTGTTCCTTGGAGAGGGATAAGAATTCGAAATGTGGAACAGACAGAGGCAGAGGGAGCGATAAAGGACTTCAGCAGAGGTGTGGAGATGGGGTGGGGGTGGGGGCCTGGGGACAGACAGAGGAAGCCAGAGAAGTGTGTAAGTGAAACGCAGGCAGATGGAAGGGAAGACTCTAGATAAGGGCCCAGGACAAACAACACAGTTAAAGGCAATAAAGTGAGGAGCGACAGAAGTCGGTCAAGACCATGAGGCGAAGGGAAGAGTCAGTGTCCCTGTTCTCTCCCCAGGGCCCACAGCTTGCAGGAAAGAGCCTCCTCCGAGCCTCAGGGGCCAGATGGGGACTTCTCTGTACAGTCGTGTATCCTTCCACGGAAAGCACACAAGGCAGTGTTGCAAAGGAATGCAGGTGGCCACCCCTGTCCTCAAGAGAAAAGCAGAGTGAGAGATGCCTGCTGAAAAGTATAAAGTGCTCCATTGACGGTCAGAGGAAAGAAGGCCGCGGGGGACTGGGAAAGATGTCGAGCACCAGGTGCCATCTGAGCTGGGACCTTAAGGCAGAACTCTGCTGTGCTGCGCAGGCTGGTCTCAAACTCCTAGACCAAAGCACCTCCTCCCTGGACCTCTGGGGTAGCTGGGGCTACAGGTCCCCACCACCACGCCCAGCAGCCAGGATCTTGAAAACGCGTAAGTGGGCACTCAGGAGACAAAGAGCTCTTACTCCTTCTCCCGATTCTTTCTGCTCCTCGAGCTGGACACCAGATGAACTGTCCCACAGAGGAGATCTGTGGAGACGGCAGCCCAGAGGGCCAGGATGAGGTCAGCCAGCTATTTTCAGGCTGCCTGTTCCATAGGTAACTATGGAACTGCAGATCAGAGGTACCACCAGAACTCCTGCTGTCGCCAAAGATCCCCCCCCACACACACACACACAGCCAGCTCTGACCAAACAAAACAGCTTCTGAATGCAGGATGCAGAGCCCAGAGCCTTGGTACCGAACCACATCTCCAGGTGCCCTCTTAATTATTTTTTAAATTTGGAGACAGGGTTCTGCTAAATTGCCTAGGCTGCGCTCAAAATTTTGATCCTCTTGCCTCAGCAGAGTTCTGGGATTACAGGTGTGCACCGCCATACCAGCTGCAAATGGCCAGTTCTGGTTTCTGTTTGCGGGAACTCACACTGCACAGGACGCTATGTGTACCAAGTCCCACCAAGCCAATACCACAAGATGCTGATTCACAAAAGGCATAAGACATTTTAAAAAAATATATCTGTATCTATATCCTATAACTGAGTTACTAGAGAAACAACATAACCCTTCTGATTTTCCCAAGAAACGCTGTTCTATTTTTAGTTTGATTTTGGTCTCACTACAGCCTGGGTCCCAGAACCAGGTACCACGACGCAGCCTCAAGTGGGCACCACACTCCACAGAAGAAGGCTGTGGCATTTCCTGAGAGGCCCTTTACCTTAGCTCAGACCCTGGAGCAGTGTCCCCACTTCCTGTCGACCCGGGCTACAATGGGGGAGGGGACAGCATGTCCTGTGGGCAGCCTCCGGCTTCCTGGGCGCCGGGCAGACTACTGTGGGGCAGACCGTGCTCAGAGAGGGTTCTCTTGAGCAAGCTGCAGGCAGGAAAAGGACCTGCTTTCTGGCATGTCACCAGGGGACTTTGCATACACACAGAACTGAGCTCCCCGCAAACCTGTGTTTTAACTTCTACTGAAACCATCTTGGAAGACAGTCACCTCTTCTGTGAAACTGGTGAGACATTGCTCAAGCCTTAAAAAGGCGTGGGACTTTTTTGGTTTTTGGTTTTTTTTTTACACCTCTACTCCTTTAGACGCCTAGCATAAAAGTGTGTTTGCTATTAGCACTCAAATGTGCTTTTTGACTAGGGTTCTGGTTATACACAACAGCAGCTCTAAAAAGTCAGCTCGGGGTTTACCTGAGCCTTTAACAAATCATAAATTCTGCACCAGACCTGACAGTCTGAACTTCTTATGTGTTCTTATTAGAAAGGACGGTGAGTCAAGACGAGAACTCTACAGTACTTTGTGTGTCCGGAGGGATGGATGTCCTGCAATCATCAAAAGGTGACAGCTGAGAGCGGGCTGAGATTGCCCAGGCCTGCACCTTACCCTTCGCCCCGCTTCGTTGTTCTGCAGGTTCATGAGCACACGGCCCTGCTCCTCCGACCCCTTGGCATAGTTCTTCTCCCGCTCCCGGGCATCCACAAACTCCTTGGCAAAGCGGTAGCCGTACTCCACATTGTCCCCACAGCCGCCCCACAGCCAGTCCCGGGGCAGGTCCTTGGGCCGTGCTGTCCGGCTGCACCCACACGTGGAGAGCTCACCCTCGCGGCAAGCCCGGCTGATGGCATTGACCACGCCTGCAGCGCTCACAGCATAGGTGAAAGCAGTCTCACGGCTGCCTGCAAGACAGAGAGGAAAGGCGTGGTGAGGGAGGTCACCCTGCTCTGCCCAACAGCCCCGGGCTGGGAACCAGCAGCAAGAGGAGCCCTTCTCTCTGCATGGCTGAATAAATTTCCCTTTAAAGTGTGTGGCAGCTACTCCTTCTCCCCCTGGCCCTACCGAACACACAGGTGGTGGCCCAGGTCTGCCCTACCAAACCACAGAGCTGGAGGGTCCATCCAGCTGGTCCACGTTCTAATGCAATGCAGATCTGGAGGAGGAGACCTAATGGAGGGGCAGCGGGTATCCAGAAATTCATGGACCAGGCAAGACTAACAGAATGCAACAGTAGGAGTCTGTGCCCTAATGGAGCTCCTCCCTCCTTGATGCGATGCTCCTCCCCACGAGCTGTCTGTCCATCTGTCTTTATCCAGTTCGGCTGCGGCAGAGGCCGGGAATAGGAAGCAAACTAAAACTGCAATGTCCAGAACAATGCAAGCTGTCGCCCTCTCTCTGACATGGGAACACAACTCCTGCCAACTCGAAGAGTACCAGGAACCATGTCCCCGATGATACCTACTCCTTCAGACACTCAGTATGGTCCTCTCAATATCCAGATCATTTTCCTGTAGGAAATTCCAACTATGTTTCTTTTTGTTGTGTAGTAAGCCACTTAAATCCTCATAAGATGTTTTACTTCAATGAATGTCCATTAAAAATAAGCGCAGCCTCCAGGGAAATGTCAAGGTCAAAATGAGATACCATTTCACATTCACTAGGATGGCCATGCTCAAAAGCCAGCTCGTAACAAGGCAGGAAGGATATGGGTCTCCCCTACATTTCTGAGGGACCGTGAAATGGTGCTGCCACTCTGGAAAACCTCAAAGATTAAACACAGAGTTACCATGTGACTCAGCAGCTCCACTCCAAAGTATCATACGCCCAAGGGAAATGAGAGCACACGTCCACACGAAAACTTCCACATGAATGCTCGTTACAAAATCATTTATGAAGCCAAAAAGGAGCTGGGTATGGGGGTACAAAGTGTGGTCAGCACTTGCTAGGCTGAGGCAACAAGATAACAGTGAGCCTGCACTACATAGCAAAACTCTGTCTTAAAAACCAAAACAGGCAAAAAGTAGAAACAACCTAATTGTTCATCAGCAGATGAATGGTGATTTTAAAAAAAATATGGCATCATCCATACAGTGGAAGCTTATCTAGCCATAAAAGGGATAAAGCACTGGTATATGCTATTATATACACAAACTTTTTAATCATTATGCTAAGTGTAAGAAACAGTTGCCAAAGGCCACATATTATATAATCCTCTTTATTTAATTTTTGAAGTTAGGAGTATTTTTGTTGGAAATAAGAATACCTCCTAGGTTTTCAGGAGGGGTCCTGAGAAGGAGTCCCTATTTATTGTTTTTTTAAGACAGTGTCTCACTATGTCGTTCAGGATGGTCTTGAACTACTACGTAGACCAGGCTGGCCTCAAAACTCATGGTGATACTCCTGCCTCAGCCTCCTGAGTGCCGGGATCATAAGTATGCAACACCAAATCCAGCTATCATGATTCAATTTATATGAAATGTTCAGATTGGGAAAATTCAGGGAGGCCAGTTAGGAATAAAGTACTGGTACATGCTATAACATTTGTGAACTTTTTAATCATTATGCTAAGTGTAAGAAATAGTTGCCAAAGGTTGCCTAGGACAGGGAGGCATGAGAGGATAGAGAGTAACAGTTAAGGGGTATGTACTTTTTAATGGAGTAATGAGAATATTCTAGAACTAGTGGTGATAGCTGCATACCTTGTTCATATATTACAAACTATTGAACTGCATATTTTAAAATGGTGAATTATGAGATGTGAATTATATCTTTATAAAGCTGTGATAAGAAACAATAATACTCTTGTGGATTCTGGTATGGAGGGAAGCAAGTGGTTCTTTGCAGTAGACAGATCCAGTCTGGGAGCTGGGGATTTAGCTCAGCGGCATAAGTACCTGCCTTGCAAGCAGGCGGTCATGAGTTCAATCCCGGGTACCGATAAAAAGAAAAGAAAAAAAAAAAAAAAGACACATCCAATCTGATCTCAGATGGACCCAGGAGAACCTCCTGCTTTCTCCCCTTCCTGCTCAGCAAACGGCGCACAGCCCTGTGGAGGGAGGAGCAGCACAGGGCGCTGGCCTGGAGCGATCTCCACTGTGCCCTCCTTCTTCATCACCTCTGCACCACATGGAGACATCTGCAGCCAGACCACACTGGGTGGGCCAGTATTTCTCAGGTAAGCAGGGGTCAGCTTTGGTCAGCTGTGGAACATCTGTTTTACCTAGAAAAACCCAAACAACGGCAGGCAGTTCCACTCCCAACTCGGCCTTCGGAACTGAGCTCTGAGCCAGTGTGGCGCAGAGCCAGAGTCCAGGGGTCTGGTCTAGGCGCGAGCTGGACTGTGCCTGTGAGCACCCGGATGGCAAGCCAGTCAAAGGGGCGTGAGGGAAGCTGGGCCTTACTTGAGGACTTCATTCCTGAGAAGTGTTTTGTTTTGTTTTGCTTTCTCTGAGCAGTTTTCTGAAAAGGTACCTCAACCCCCTGCCATGGCACCCTAGAAGAGGAAGTTGCATTTGAAGCTAGAGCCTAGAGCTCCCGTTCCTCCACAGGGGACACTCACTTCACAGCACACCTCAGAGAAGTAGCTGGGCTTTCAAAGCAACCCATTCCCCCCCCCCTTTTTTTTCCTTTCAGTAATGGGGATTGAACTCAGAGCCTTAACCAAGCATGGTGGCACACTCCTGTAACCCCAGCACTCAGGGAGGCTGAGGCAGGAGGATCAAAAGTTTGAGCCCAGCCTCCTTGGCAACTTAGTGACTTAGTGAGACCTTGTCTCAAAATTAAAAAAAAAAAAAAAAAAAAAAAATCACAAAGGAGACCCGACTTAGTTCTAAGAACCTGGTTCAAGTCCTAGTAGAAGGAAAAATCTGACACAGGGTCTTACTAAATTGCTCAGGCTGGACTTGAATATACAATCTGACTGCCCAATCATTCCACCTTTTAAAACCGACTCTAATCACCAGAATGTTTTTTCTTGTAATAACCCAAAATATGTCTCCCTCTCCCTACAACTTCTGCCTGCTGCAGCAACATTATCAACTCCCTTTTCTACTTGACAGCTCTTCAGTGTCTGGAAACAGGTAACACGCCTTTATGTGTTCCTCTTCCCAGCTACCTATGTCTGACTTCCACCGTTCTTTAGCAAACACACCGTTCAGAGTGGGGTGAGCGGTCTCAGAATCACTCTGCAGCTGAACACCATATGCCAGGCGCTGCGTCCTGACAACTCCAGCCTCTCCAAAGGTTTGGGATTTACATACGTCCTCAGATGCACTGGCTGTCACTTGCAGTCACTCTCTGCCTCGGCCCATCAGAGGGGGTACTGTAAGACACTTGCAGGCAGCACTGCTTCCCCCGGAGAGCATCTGGTCAGCCTGGTAAATGGAGGCCATAAGAGCCAGCCTCAAAGAAAGCGTTACCTGGGCTTCAGGAAGGATAGGCAGTGTAGGGCGTTTAGCTACAATGAAACTCAAACCATCTCAAAGATAAAAGGCTGATAAACCAGCAGCAGTGGAGCTACTGCACAGACATCATCCTTGCCAGGGAGACGCAGGAAAATACTACACCCTCTCACTTCCACAACTGCCCAGGGTGCCTCCCGAGGCCAGGGGAGGTCCTCACCCACGCGCCTCCAAGCTGCTCTGCTGCCCCTGGCGTGCACTTCTGCAGAAGTGTCATAGAAGTCCCAGGGAAGACTGGGACTTCTTACCAAGTGCTACCCCAGGCCCTGGAGGAAAGGTCAGTTTAGGAGCATGGTAGGTACTGGGAACCTTCCATGCCAGAAGCTACAAAAAGGGGGAAATTAGGCAAACGCAGGATTGCAGTTTGTAACAGAATAAGGTAGAGTGAGATGTCACTGCTTCCATTGGGAGTCCCACTCTGCAAATCTGTACCACTAGAGCATTTACCACTGCCATCCTTTTTCCCCAAAAGTAAAGCCTCACTTTCTATGCTTCGGTGGAACAAAATAACACATGGGAAAGATCCAGCCAATGCCAGGATCCCTTGAAATGATCAGAGGATGTCTCTGCATCCGGGTCACCCTGGTGTCCTCACTGCAAACACAAGACAAGGACACTGCTGAGACTTTCACCAGGAAAAAGCGATAAATACCTGGCAAATAAATTATTAGTAATTCCACTGAATCCCCAAGCCCACTCCTCTGGGAAAGTGTTGCTCCTAAATCTGTCCCAAGATCACATGAACATTCCTGTTTTGTTTTGCTCTTGTTTGTTTTTGAGACCAAATCTTGCTCCATGGTTCAGGCTCGCCTACTACGTAGCCCAGGCTGGCCTCAAACTCCATGTGATCCTCCTGCCTCGGCCTCCCTGAGTGCTAGGATTACAGATCTGTGCCACAGGCCAGGCAGGGAAAAGACATCTGCAGTAAGTGGTAGGGGCCTTCTAAGCATCCCTCTTAATAGAGGGTTTCAAGATCGCTAGCTCACCGGGCTAGCTCTCAAACCCTTGTGGTACTGGAATCCTTCATGAGGAAGTGCCAGCCCCAGGTAACTCCAAAATGAGCTTTCTGATGGGAAAATGTCTTTTGGGTGAATGAATGTAAGAGGGGGAATACTGTCCTTTAACATCTCCCTTTTTATGGCCCTGGGAATAAGACCCAGAATAGGGCCGGATCTCTCGATTTCTTGCCAGGGAGGGGCGGATTGCATTTCAAAAGGACCTGAAACAATCAGCCCTCAGCTCACACCTCCATCTAAACAACAGGGCAGCCAAAGCATTCTAGACCAGCAGTGGGAGTGGGGAAGGCATAGGAATCTGGGGATTCCGTGGCCCTCTCATCTAGCCACTCTTTAGTGTGCTCCCCAGTCCCCCACCCCCCACCACACTCACCCCTTTTAAAGGAAAACATCTGCACTGGATCTGGCTCAGGGTAATGACAGCTATCATTAATTTGGCCCCAAATTTCTATCTCTCTATCAAAGGCCCAAGCGGAAGAGGCAAAAATCCTACAAACATTCAGGGTTGCAGATTTGGGTTAACTAGGATTCAAAAACACCAACAAACTCTGCACTGGGAGACAAAGGGAGCAGGGATGGGTGGGTCTCCTAATCCTCTCTAACTTGACTCAGAGGGCCCTTCCCTCCCGGTCCATCCCTCGCAGTGTGAGTCACAAGCTGCCTGCTTCGGGGTGAAGCTGGAAAGCAGGGGCCACAGGGACTTGAACCAGTCTGGTTATGAGTGCATTTTCCAGGCTGCTGCTTCTCTGAGTACCTCCCTCCTCCTTTGTGCACGCTGCTTCCAAGCCTAGACAGAACCCAGCGAGGCTCCCTTTCGGGCTCTCAGCGTGCCAGTCTCAGGGGCCTCAAGTGGACCATGGTGAGAGGAGGGCAGATCCCACAGCCGGGCCTTATCCCAGTGCCTCTTACCTATCTGCATGACTCTGCCAAAGACAGACGTGTTGTTCACGGTGCTGCAGTTCCACCGCCTGTGCCGGAATTGGTGCTGGCACTCCCTGATGCCCGTCTTGGCGCCCTCCGCAATGTAGACCATGTGTTCTTGGTACAGTTGGCACAGCTTTCTCTGGCCAGGGGAGAGCCCAGGCAGCTGACTGCACACGGGCTGAGCTCCAATGATAAACATCTCGGGTCTCTGCACTGGGTTCATAGCCAATGACCTGCAACACAACACAGAAAGGCGGAAAAGGCCATGAAGTGAACACACCGTGTGCAGCGTTAGGTCATTCCTCAACTAACCATCGACTGCTTTCTGGGTAGAGGGCCGTGGACGAATGACCGAGGACCTGGAAGGAAATTAAATACAACAAAGTGTGGGCCTTGAAAGGACACAGAGGGAAACCAAGGCGTGAACATAAATGATGCGTGAGACACCAAATGCCTGGATCCATGTGACTAGCCAGGAAAAGAGGTTTAGAAGACAGCTGAATTGTGAGCTGGTCTTAAAGGATGAGCGGCAGGGGAGAAGGAGACGGGGTGGGTGGGGGGACTGGGCATTTGAGGCAGAGGCAGAAAGAGCCAAATGTCCACGTGCCTTGCTCCAGGAGTAGCTGATTACTTCCGTTAAGCCCAAGTCCAGCTTCCATGATGCAAAGAGCAATCAGTTCCCTTCAGTGGAACTTCCCTTAGGCCAGCGCCACAGTATTTTCTGAATGCTTTCACTTCCTATCTCCCTCTGAACATCCCCTAAACTGCTGCTGATCATCAGTGGGGATACCTCTGCTCACCATCTAGACACACTTAAGGGTTAAGCTAGATGAGAAAGCTACAGATTTGCCATCTGAATAAAAAAGCAAGCAGGGCAAAGCCATGCAAACTAGGTGGTGATTATCTGCTGTTTTCAGGTTGATCCAGCAATGCCACTAGCCTTAAGAACACAGAAAGAGCTGTGCGGGCTGCTCCCAGCTACTTGGGAGGCTGAGGCTGGAAGACCTCAAATTTAAGGCTAGTTTGGGTAACTTAGTAAGAGCCTGTCTCAAAATAACGAAGTGAAGAAGGCTAGGGTTATAGCTCAGTGGCAGAATCCCTGGAGTTTGATCCTTACTAGCACAAAACAAAACACAGAAAGCAAGCCAGGCATGGTCCTGAAAATCCTTCATCTGGTCTTTAGGATGTTGTAACAGGAATTTTACTCTCTGCCTCTGTCAGGAAAATGAAAGAAAGAAGGAAGGAAGAGAGGGCAGGTGGAAGACAGGGAGGGAGACCAGTAATTTTCTGTAAGATACCATCTTGCTATGTTGCCCAGGCTGGACTCGGAACTCCTGAGCTCGCCTAAATCGCCTGCCTCGGTCTCCTGAGTAGTCTCTTGCTACAGCACTCCCTACCTTTACAGGTTTTCTTCTTCAGGGCAGGGGAGCAAACCCAGGACCTCATACAGGCTGTCAGCATTCTTACTGACCCAGTAACAATAAAAGGCTATTTCTAAGAATCATAGAGATGGGGAAAAATCCAGGGAAAAAAAAGGATTATAGACCGGATCAGAAGGAAAAATGACATGAATGGATAATTTATCCTCAGGGAGCCTTTACCTCTGGACATGTGAGAGAGCAGAAGATTTCTCCTGGTTTTCTTAGACGGGAAAGGCTCCTTCTCATTCCTACAGATCAAGCTATGATCCCCTTCTCCGCAGCCCCATTACCCAAGGAGCCTTGGGGTGCAGGTGGACAAGCCCCTCACACTCACCACCAGGAGTTGGCTTCCGTTAGCAGCTGGGCCCAGCTGGAGAGCAGAGCCACCATGAACAGCAACAGCAGACCGGGCATGGTCGGCCTCAGCCCACCCCAGTGCCCGGGGACTGGCAGCTTCCAAAGTGGGGCTCCCTAGAGACAGGAAGGAAGGGAGAGTCAGTGTGCAAACACAGACCCAGGAAGACAGGGAGAAGGCAGAGGTGGAGCTCTAGGATGGACCTGAAGTCAAGTCCCGTCGTCCCTCCCCAGTCTCAGCCCCTGACAACCTCCACCTCACTCACTCCTTTTTAGTGGTTCTCAGTATTGAACCCAGGGCCTTCACACTGATCTGCATTCCCCACACTTTATTATGAAAAAGGGTCTCTAAGTTGCTGAATTGCCAAGGTTGGCCTCCAACTTTTGATCCTCCTGCCTCAGCCTCCTAGAGTGCTGGAATTACAAGAATGCGCCACTAGGTCCAATTCCAACATCTACTGCCTCTAACTGCTTAGCTTTTGGGTCTCTCACTCCAAACTGTGGGAACATTACTCAGGACCTAATTTGAAAGGAAATGAGCTGAGAAATGGGGGGGGGGAGAAAGAAACAAAAACCAATTATTTCTAGAATAGAGCATGCTCCATGTGGCATTTAGGAAGCTGCCTCAACTGCTGCAGGGAACACTGGCCATTCTAGAACATCTAGAGAAATGAGGATCCTCCTTTACTCTGCATTTTTTAAATCTCTTACTTCAGTTCAGATATTTACTGATTGACCTCTTTTGTAGGGATTAAAAACTGATGAATTGAATTTACCTCCCCTAAAATTGAAGTCTTTCATCTCCATCTGTACCCTTCTCCCTCTGCATAGGCTTCCCAAATCCCCAAACTATTTTATTAAGGCCTAATGGCAGAGAGACACATGAGGACTTCTCACTTTCTCAAGACAACTTCTCCAAAAAATATAAAAGTCATACAGTGAACTGTGCACCCTCCATCCCAAAAGCTTTGGTGGCCAAGGCCATGCCTTCCCCTCCTCTGCACTCTGTGGTCTAACAGGGGCTGCAGGGAAGACCTCTTCTGAGGACACATCTTCCAAAAGCCATGACCTCTCATGCCACTGTAGCTCCCCGTATCTTTGCCTTGTGCTTTTTGCCTCTGCAGACATCCTCAAAGCACACCTTTGCTGGAGCCCTTGGAGAGAGGAAATATCCATGCTCAGGATCCTAGAATGAGCGACTAAAACCATGATCCCTTTAGTGCACCCCCATCTGTTTTCCCTTAGCTTCCCTGTGGGGCGGAACCCCACATCTCCAGAGTCTTCTTGCCAGGACCCCTCGGCACCTCCAACACTACACACACAGACGTAGTATGCCTGCTGCTCCACGCTGCCCCACCCCCTCCTCACCATGCGGGTCCTGTGGTTCTGGGTCTCCAGGCTCTCCAGGAGGGGGTGGCAGGTGCTTTGCGTCATCAGCCTATGAAATAATTTTGTCCTGGGGCCACCAAGAAAGGAAGGTGACTTGAACGGATCCAGGAGAGCTGAACACAATCTTTCCCCCACCCCCTTTAGGTTTTCCTCCGAGAGGTCTCAGCTGGGGCGGGGGCACCCACAGGCAGGTGTGTGGGGCCGGCAGGGTGCACATCAAAGCAGAGCCTTGCTCCTTCCCCTTTGTCATGCAGAGCCCGCTCGGAAATGATCCGCCTCTAGCGGGGCTGACCAGCAGTTCCCCACACCCTACTTTCCTAACAGACTTCTCCCGCCTCCTCTAAATGCCCCCTCCCCCTTCTCCTCAGCCCCCCATAAATCCCCACCTCATCCCTCAGGGCTGGAGGTTGTGAATGCACCGACTGGAACCGACCCGAGAGAGATGGAGCAGAGATAGGGCTGGCACCAGAAGCTAATGGCTTTATGGATGGGAGGCGACCAGGTCCAGGGTGGGGAGCACGAGAGAAAAGCTTCAAAGAGCTTCTTGTCCAAACATCCCCAACCCCACCTACCGGGATTACCCCCCCCCTCCCCGCCTTTCTGACCTTCTTCTCTCCTCCCCCCAGCCTCGAGCGCATCCCCACCACCGAGCCGCCTCCAAGCCAGGCTCTCCATCCAACATCTATCCTCACACATTCCTGCCATCAGATAGCTGCTTCTTCCAGCTAGTGACACGTCCAATCCCTGAGGTTTCCCTCACACCAGGTCTGTCACCTCTGTCACCCCATTCCAACAGGTTCTAGTCAAACTTTTCTGGCCCTCAAATCCTACATTCAACAGAGGCCGTATTAAAGGCCTCCTTTTACTGAGCCACGGACCGGCCAGTGCCTGCTAACAGTCCCTGCCTGTGGCTTTAATAGCCCCAATGACAGGCCAGCCAGCTAGACCTCCCAAAAGCTGCAAATCCCACCCATCCATGCCTTACAAACACACAGACAGGAATACCTCTGTCAGCTGTTCCCACCACCCTGTGGCTTTATTGAACTGCCTGTTAAAAATTGTATTTCTGAAAATTACAATGGGGGGGGGTGGCTAACAGAGGTGATGGTTGTTTGCTGTTCCAAATGTGTGGTACCTGAGGTTGAGCACACAAACCCTCAGAACCCTCAGGCTCCCTCTGTCCTGCTCCTAGAATGGTCCTAGAAGTAAAGCAGGGCAGCTGTTTGCCCCTCTTGCATTCTCTGTTGAAGTGATGACTGGTTTCTTTGGCATGGGCAGAAGGCAGATGTCTTGCCTCAAGAAGAAGATGCATGGGGACAATTGGGACTTAAGAAGCAGGATATGTGGAAAGTCTGGTGTGGGGTTCACTGCTGAGATTTGTAGGCACAACCTCTTCAGTTCAACAGGAAGGAGTTAGCAAATATCCCAAAAGAAAGGAGGACCAGTTTCTTCTGGTGCCTCTGTCATAACTGGGTTCCCTCCCACTTGCCCCTTCTGAGGCAGCCCGTCATTTCAAACACACCAAACTTAGTACTGAGTATGCGAAGCTCAGGGCTTTATTTTGCAGGGAGGGAGGAGAGTCCTGGAAGTTGAACCCAGGCTCACACAAGCTCCAGCATGAAGCTTCACTCCCAGTCCAAGCCCCATTCTTTAGTTTTAATTGCAGGGTGGAGGGCAAAATTTGCCATCCGGATTCCACCACAGCACGAGAAAGAGCGAACTGGGTATCGCTCAGCCCCACCTCTTCATCTGCTCATTCATTCCTTAATCTTATAAACCACATAGGCACTGAGTGTCAGGGCTAGCTCAGGGACAGGGCACATGCCCACTATGGACAAGGCCTGGGTTCTACCCCCAGTTCAGAGGAACTGGAGAAAAAGATGAGTTGTGTGATGATCTACACCACTCCAGGTCCCTGGGAAGGGTATTCCCTGAGCTCTTGGCCTTCTTAGCCCTGCTCCAGAGCTCTGTGCATGTGGGACTGTACAGGGTTCACAACCCTCCTTCCCCTCCCAGTCCTCCCTGTGCTACCTCTGAGGTCCCTGAGACCACTCTGCGCCCAACCTTACTGCAGCAACCAAAGGGGTGAATATTTGAAAAACAGGCTCTCTTCCTCTTTCTGCTAACACTCAATGCCCAGGTTTCAGTCCTCGAGGGAGCCATATCCTGGGCGCTCAGAGTGAGGACGGAATCAGGGGGGAGGAACAGAGTGGTTACATGGGGAAACATGTGACCCAGGAAAAAGGCAGAAAGACGTTTTAGATCAGCCTTAACAACAAAACTGATTAAAAGATCATGTCCTCGGCAAGAGAAGCCCCTACTCTGACAGCATCAAGTTGTATTTATGTGGAATCATTTGGCAGGCTGATCCGTTTGTGTTTTTCTCTAAAAGGCTTTGGAAATGGTCTTGTTCACCATTTTCTCTCCAGTGTTTAGAAGAGTGCCCAATTTAGTGCATGCTAGGTAAATATTTGTTGACTGGAAAAGAAGATAGGCCTCTTTTGGTTCTTAAGGAAACAGGAAACTGGCTGTGAAAGCCAGACTTTCATGGAGACAGAGAGCCCTCCTGGCTCCCATAGGCCTGTCCGTTCTCCAGTGAGCAAGCTCCTGGCGTGTCCCCTTATTTGGGGATCTACTCCTAATGGAGATCTTAGAGATTCTAGGTCTCCACTTTGTCTTTGCCCTTTCCTTAAAGCCATGAGTAATACGCAGCTCCTAAGAGTAAAGCACTCCACTGCCTGATCAGATAATGCAGGGACGCTTTAGCAGGGGAAAATTCACTCTGAAGAGTCAGGACGTAAGATGTGCCAGGAGAGTCCCAAGAGCAATTGCAGTCGGGATGTGGGAGATGAGCAGGGCCTTAAGAATGTGTGGTTTTTGCACAGAAAGAAAAGTGCAGAAAAGATTTCATGTGGTCATGTGGTTTGGTTAAGGAGATAAACTTTCCAAGCGTTTTAGGAGGGTGGAGACATACTGCTATGGTGGAGGGCTTCTACCATTTCCAAGGTTATCAGAATCACTTCTGTTCATGAAATTTACTCCAAAATCTAATACTGAATTCCCGTGGATCATTCAGTAGCAATTACTGGGATAATTCCCATAATGATATGCCTCTATTTCATGGGGGCAACACTGCATGAATGGGGCCAAAGATTTAGAGGTTTAGTTGCCCTGGGTGCTATTCTTTTGTTACAGGGGTGTTATCAGTACCTCCAAATATTGTATTAGGGAAATATTATAGTTCCCAACCTGTTAGATGTTTGATACGCCAAGTTTGCGTTCTCTCAGAATAGAAGGATGAATTCTGGGGACAATGAGGGTTAGAGTAGGAAGATATCTATTGAGGGAGATATAGCTCCCTACATGGGGGAGGGGGCCCGAGCACCCCACTTTACAGGGAAATTGTATAGAGGAATAACCACATGGGTCCAACGCGGGTTATAGCTATGATTAAGTATGATAAGGATACACCTACAGTTGCTTAGGTAATAGCGATCCAATGGGGGAAAAGTTACGTAACAAGAGTGCATGGAAAGAACAAAGACTTTTTCTAGGAAACGATGGGTCCAGAGGTCTTGGTCACTCGCTGGGTGACTGATATCTATCTAGCCTTCATTAGGCCTGGTGTTTGTCCTTAGAGGAAGTATAAAGGCTGGGTCATTTCATCTTTATCTTGAGGCCTAGTAACAGATACGCCTCCGGCCACAGTTGAGATGTGTTTCACCTTTGTCCTGGCTCTCGAGGGCCTGGCCCTATTTGACTGCCATAAGATTTCCGCCTAGCTTAGCTGTCTCTAATACTTGGGCCATGAATCAGTGGTGGAGTGAATCTTCCTAGACACCCAAGGACAGAGCGAAGACGCTGACTGATCGTGCTTTTTCCTTCCAAGCTGGCTTGGTCTCTGTCCTCCAGTTCTCTTCCTGGATTCAGCTTGGAAAACTTGGTATGGTGTCTGTTCAGACTTCTCCTTTATCCTCCGTGTCAAAATCATTGGTCAATTCTCCAGACTTCTTGATTGCCTTCAGTCTTTTCTTTTATCGTTTATTTGTTTTTGTGGTGCTGAGGGCAGGATCCAGGGACTAGGCAAATGCTCTACCACCAAAGCACACCCCCACCCTCCAAAGAATTATAAAAGTTTATTCCCTATTCTCCACTACTTCTGTCATACTCCGGGCTGCCACAAGAGCCTGCTAACCGACCTCTTTTCCCTCCATGAAATTATGTCCTACTCTTATGCACTGAGTGCTTGGATGGATCCCCCCACATCTAGTTCTCTCATTTTTAAGGTAACAGCAAACTACTAGATTTCTCAACGTATAATCCCTGGGCCTAACAATATTAGTATTATTTGGAGACCTATTTGAAACATAAATTCTCAAGCCCTGCCTACACCTACTGAATTGGAAATTTGGGGATGGTACCTAGCAATCAATCTGTTTTCTTTCTTTTCTTTTCTTTTTTTTTGGTATCAGGAATGGAACTCATGACCTTGTGCTTGCCAGGAAGATGCTTATGCTGCTGAGCTAAATCCCTGGCCCCTCATCAATCTGTTTCAATGAGCTCTGCAGGTAAATCTGATGACCGTGAAAATTTAAGAACTGTTGCCACAAAGCCACCCACAGTAAAAGGTAATGCAGTTTTCCAGGTAACATACCTTCATTTTAATGGCAAATTTATACATGTCAAGACATAAACCAATGGTCCCTAACCTGGGAGCTAATGATCTATGGGAGCCACAGAATCATACAACACACACTGTGTCTAGAATGAGTAAATGTGTCCACCTCTTTCTACACCAGCAGTCCCATGTGGGTCCTTGAAATTATCATTTCTTACTGTTGTCTGCTGGTTTGCTTTGGTTTTTGGAGGCAGGGTCTCGCAATGTAGTTCACGCTGTCCTTGAACTCCGTATGTAGCCCAGCTGGCCTCTCGGCAAATTTATACATGTCAAGACATAAACCAATGGTCCCTAACCTGGGAGCTAATGATCTATGGGAGCCACAGAATCATACAACACACACTGTGTCTAGAATGAGTAAATGTGTCCACCTCTTTCTACACCAGCAGTCCCATGTGGGTCCTTGAAATTATCATTTCTTACTGTTGTCTGCTGGTTTGCTTTGGTTTTTGGAGGCAGGGTCTCGCAATGTAGTTCACGCTGTCCTTGAACTCCGTATGTAGCCCAGCTGGCCTCTCGGTGCTCCTGCCGCTGTAGCCTTCCTAATGCTGGGATTACAGGTACGCACCGCCATGCCCAGCTGCTTGGGGTTTTTGTTTTTGTTTTTGAGACAGGGTCTGGCTATGTAGTCCAGACTGGTCTTGAACTCACTATGTAGTCCAGGCTGATCTTTGAAATTATCAAAATGCCAATTCATTTAAAAGTACTACAGAGGATGGTGGTGATGGACATATAACTCTGAACATATTGTATTCTATATGAAAAGGATCACAACAAAGCTGTTACAGTTAAAGTAGTGTTTCTGATGATGAAGCTATCCTACTTCCCTGGATATTTATACACTAAGAAGTCTGTCAAGAATAACAGCTCTAAGCTAGGGGCGGAGTGGCCCTGGGTTTGAACTCCAGCACCAATGTCAAACAAAACAATAAACAGCAGCACCATTAGCCAACTAAGTCAGCCCCAGGATGCCAGTGTAGAGCAATTAATTGTGGTCTATGGTTACAGTGGAATATGCAGGGATGAAAATGAATGAACGGCATTTACAGGCAAATACATGCCGCAATCTCACCAACATAATGTCAGAAAGAAGCAGGCTGGAAAAGAATACACGCCCTGCAATTCAGTTCCTGCTAGAAGCCTGTTTAGAGGTCCATACATAGGTGGTTAAGCCATAAAGAAAAACTGGTGGCCATGGTCAGGGCCATGTGTCCTCAGAGGGGGAAGAGGGGGGGATGAGGAAGGGACTTATGGGGAGTTTTGGGGGGCCCGTTCTCCTGGGAATGTTCTACTGGGAGCCTGGGAAATGGATGTTATAAGATTTTTACCATGCTGTACATGTATTTGGCTCTTTGTAATTTTCTGTTATGTTATATAACGAAAAAAATTTTAAATGGAAAAAGATCTTATAAATGCCCAATAGTCTGAGGGTCTTCATATATTTATTCTCCGTAGAAAGTTCAACTGAAACCTCATGGGGTAGACGACCCTTTTGGGGGAAGACTTACAAAAAGGATCCTCATATTTAAGAAACCTCTGCTTTAAACAAATATTGGGAACTTAGGTCTGGAGACAGCCAGCAGAGCTAACTGCTGGGCAGGACTTCAGTGCTAACCACAATAGCACCCGACAGGCCAAGCCGGCTGGCCCTGGTCCACTGCACATGGACACACAGCTACCGTGCCAGGAGCCACTGAACGGTTCCCCCTCCCTTCCCTTCCTTTCCCTTCCCTTCCCTTCCAGGCACCGCTCAGTGAGTCTTCTTAGCCCCAAGGCCTGGCCTTCTTTTGTAGGATCTGTTTTCTAGACAGCTGGTAGAGAATAAAAATAAAAAACGCAGTGGGGGTGGTGGGGGTGGCAGAGAGGGCCGGGGTTTTCAGTTGTACCACGTTATTTTGTAGCAGCCTTTGAGAAAGCTCATCTTGCAAATATTGTGCCTTTTCCTGTTGCTTCTTGAGCTGTAGGAAGAGGGGAAGGAACAGAGGGCAGACAGGAGTGGTGAGATTTAAATTCTGTTCCTCAGCAATGCTAAAACTCAGTACCTGTCTGGCACTCACGGTGGTAACACAGAGCTGACCCTGAGACCCCCACACTGAAACCTAGCTCCTAATGTTTCCCAGAATAGATTCTGGGCCCCCAGCTCCTTGGCCCTCCAGTTTCTCATGTGTCCAGAAGTGTGACAGTGACATACTTATGTCCTACACAGCACTAAAAGCCAGCAGAGCTAATCCCCAAGAAGAGGCTGGTCCCAACTGACTCCTCGTTTACCTGGAAAAGCACAACTCTCTTCCCAGTACGGAATGAAAGTCAACTAGGAGGCTTTTTCTGTATAGAAGAAAGAGTAATATCCTTTTGCTCATTTTAAAAGATATTCTAGGGAGCCAGAAAGTGGTGGCATAGCCCTGTAATCCCAGCTACTCAGGAGGCTGAAGCAGGAGGATCATAAATTCAAGACCATTTTAGGAATCTTAGCAAAATCCTGACTCAAGAAATAAATATATAATTAAAATTAATAAATTTAAATGTAAAAGGACCAGGGTTGTAGCTCATTGGTAGAGAGCTTATCTACCAATTGAGCCCTGAGCTCAAATTCCAGTACTGAGAGAAGAAAAAAGTTGCTGTAGAAAAGAAGGCAGACATGTCGGTGTGGTTTAGGAAATTATTCTGAGGAGACTGGCAACCAAGGCAGTGTTTTTTGTTTTGGTTTTGGTTCCTCCTCCTCCCAGGGTGAGGGAGAAAGGTACTTGGATGCTCTCATCTGTGATTTATTTTTTGTACTATAAGGAAGACATTCTTTGGAGTGACCATCACTCTTTTATCGAAATTTCTGGGGGCTTTTTTGTTTTGTTTTTTGTCTTTGGGGTATGGGGGATGAATCCAGGACCTGTAGCAAACTAAGCAAGCACTCTCCCACTAGACTCCCACCCCAGCCACCAGCTCCCAAGTTTAGGTAGCGGAAATGGAGTCAGTCACCGGATCCTCAGGAAGGGCAGGCTGTAACCTCTGTCTATGCCTGGGCTAATCAGAATAAAAATGAATTTTATGCTACCAAGTACATGTGTCCCAGATCTTGCAAACTGGATTTTTAAAGACTAGGTAAGTAGAGAAAATACTAACAATAATATTACAAAGCCGGTATTACCACCTGGCAAACCTCTTTGCCGATCACTCTGTTTTAAAATGTTTGGGTATGACAGCCTTGGTGGGCAGGAGCGGGGTGCAGTCTCTCCCATGCTCCTAAATCTGCACAGTTCTCTGGGCTGCTTCACACATCCATTGTGCTTGGCAGTTTTTCAAAGGATTTCAAGTTGCCATTTGTTCTTTAAAGAAAGCCCAGTCAGGCATGGTGGCGCAGGCCTGTAATTCCAGCGCTCAGGAGGCTGAGGCAGGCAGATTGCCATGAGTCTGAGGTCAGCCTGGGCTACATAGTGAGTTCAAGGCCAGTCTGAACTACATCGTGAAACCCTGTTTCCTGCCCCCCCAAAAAAAAGAAGAAAAAAGAAATCTCAGTGTGTACACATAAACACACTATAGATACGATAGTCCATTTGTCATATGCATAATTATTCTTCACTCTTTCAAAACCTGGACTTTCACATATGGAGTTTTCTCGAAGTAACTATGTTAATGTTTTTTCTAAATAATTGTATAACTCTTTTTAAAAAACTGAAGTTAGGTATTGAACCCAATCTAAGCAGAGAATGTGGTCAGGGGATGTAGCTCCGGGGTAGAGCCCTTAATCCAACAATTCTGTAATTCTCTCCTGGAAGCTAACCTTGGATGAGAAGTTATTTTTAAGATGTATTTTTAGCTTTTTTTCCTCTTGGAGACATGGTCTCAGCAGCTGCTTACACCGGTCTTGAACTTGCTAATTTCCTGCCTCAGCCTCCCCAGTGGCTGGGATTTACAGGCATGCACCACCGATGCGGGATCTGATTGAGAAGCATCACCTTATTCTATTTTTCTTACTAAAAAGAAAAAACTGCTGAAACTGCCAATCTTCCTTCAAAACCCAGCAATTTCCTTTTGATAGTCACTAACAAGACAGTAGGATATTGGGTAGTGATTCTTGTAAGCAAGTGGGAGGTCAGGGTTCTTTCCCTAAAGAACATGGGAAGGACAGTGCTCTGGGGCCTACGGGGCCTCAGTGGTGACAGCTTAGCACCTTTGCCGCTTTGTCAGTCAGGACGACATGGGAAGCAGGACCAGGCACAGGAAAGGACAGGCGCAGGCGAATTTGCCTTGGAACTTGCTTCCAGTGCAGGAATAATACTTTTCTTTTATGCTTCAGGGAAACAGGCAGTTTTGAGTGTGAGTGTGTGTGCGTGTCCCCTGGCACAAGCCCCACCTATTGCCTCTGTGTCTTAAAGTACTGCCAAGACTGCCGTGGAAGACCTTCCTCTTAGAGGGAAGCAGAGCCAAGCAGCCTTCTGATGGAAACCACAGGCAAAGGCGTTCGGCTTCCGCCAGGCCAGCACCAGGCCCTCTCCTCACCAGATGGGAAGCTTCAATGCCAGGTGGTCACCTCTGTTCACGTCCTTCTCAGATGCCAAGCAGCTCACATTCCCTTTGCCAAAATCAGAGCCACTACCAGCAATCTTCAGACCAGGTCCTTATTTTTGGAGTTAAAAACACCTCTGTCAGTGCTTTATGGAAAGTAAAATCACCCATTTCAGGCCTGCAGAGGTTAAAGAGGCTTTTGGTTCATCAACAAAGTTTTTAGCTGCTTTTGGGGCTTTGCTAGGCCTCTCTTCGCTGGATCCCCACTCTGTTCCTAACTTGCACCCTTGGACACCTGTGTTCTTGGAAAAGGCTGCCATGTCAGGGTCAAGCCTGTGCTCTGTGCTGCTAAAAGAAAGGGCTCTGCAGGAAGGGAAGGACAGCCAGGGGTGCAGGCCAGTGCCAGAGCACTTTCTTAGCATGGGGAGGCCCTGGGTTTCACTGTGAGCA